ACTCAAATTTTGGCCATTTACAAATTCATGAAAATGTAAAAGAGAAAAATGTTTCTATAAACTTTTGTGAGGGAGACATTTTATATCAACAACCTAACTAATTCCGCGCAATACGATTTTATGTAATGTGATTTTGCGAATTTTTATCACTGAAAAACATTGATAAACTTTTCTTGTTATTCCTAAACCAATACAATAGATTATCATTTTCGGCTGATTCAAACTTTTATGCCTCCTCATAGGAATGCCTAACCGACTTTGTATACCAAACGAAAACCGTGTAAAGTTATATAACTTGTCGGAAATGAAATGAACCGATTTGGATTTGGTTTCATTTCTTTGTATCCCAACAAATTGTTACCAAAACAAACGGGTTCCCTAGACTCCAAATTCGGATCAAAACCGTAAAACTATATCAAACCGAACCAAAACCGAATTAAGCAACATTTCTACACATTTTCACAAATCCCCACGGTTTTCAACTATCATCGATCAGAGCCTAACACTAAGACAATAAAAAACACAACCGGAAGATTCGTAATCCGTACCTGCTCCGGCATAAAGATGAGGGCCGGGGAAGAGTTTACCGGTACGAAGATAAGTGTTAACTCCACCAAACACAGCTTCCAAAACACCAAACCCTAACAAAACAGAACCAGCATCATAATGCTTGTCTCTATAACCTCCTTTGATCAACTCTTTCCTCTCTTCAGTGAGCCGTTGGATCTGAATCTCAGTACTAGAAGGAGTCGAAGAAGAATCAACGACTGTAGAACCATCAGGAGAAACAGGAGTTGGTTTAAGCTGTTTCTTGAGTTCATTGATCTCATTTTGAATCGTACGGACACGTCTCCATTGCCAACCTAAGTAACCAGCCCATAAAGTATATGCAAATAAACCTCCCATTACAATTGGATGTATTAATGCGAATGATCTTCCTTCCAAAATCCCAAATTCTCCTCCAACTGCTACTGCATCCTTTTCAAATTAAACAAAAAAGTTTTAAGTTTTCTTGATAAAAAAACTGGACTTTGATGAAATTGGATTCTGGGTTCTTCTTTTGAATGTGAAAGATTGAAACTTTTCACCATCATTTTGTAGAATGTGAGACTAATGGCGAAAAGATTGAGACTTTTGATTACCTGTGGATCGAGGAAGAAAGGCAATGAGACGAGTGCGAGAGGGAGAGAGGAAGATTTGAGAAGTTGGAGGGCATTGGGGTTGGAGGGTATTTCAGGGATTTTGCATGGTTGTGATTTGGGGATTGGTTTCAGAGAATTTAGTGTTTTAGGTTGATGGGTGCGAGGAAGAAGATGAACTGTGGAGAGACAATGAAGTGTGTTCGCCATA